AGCTGCTTTGTGTTTCTTCCTAAAGTATAAAAATCATTAGAAGAGTCCTAACTTCAATCTACTACTTTCAATCGTCCATCTCACTTATATTTTAGAAATAGAATGTTTCTGGTGTCATGGTGTTAATATTTGGTTTCCAAGCTTTGATGCTATTGAGAGGAGTTACAGTCTTTAAGGGGTTGAGTGTAGAGGGAGGTCTTCCCGTTACTAGACACATGCTACCAAAGTGTTTCATGGGACCCTAGCCTATTCCTGTTCATTTTTGTTCAGGCCCAAAGTAACAAGATCAACTGAGCTGATTGTATCCTCTGAAGCTCTGGCTTAAGAATGAAGCATTCATCTTTATAGTATAGGAATGGAGGTTAATACATTATTACCCAGAATTTTGTTGTTGTTGACTTACTGTTCACAAAAATAAAAGCTCACATCAATGTTTCTTTTGTTTGTTATGTAGCCAGAATTCTCAGAGTTCATTTTAAGTCACTTCTTCATGATGTTGTGATATTGTCTCATTTTCTGAAACTATTACTTGAAATATAGCCTAGATAAAGATATTTATATAGTGCATACTGGGCAATGGGATTTAGAGCTGAACAAACTATGAAGCACATACTGAAGAGAGCTTTAATGAAGTATATATTGAGCATCTTTCCAATCAGATAGCCTGGAATAAGTACATCTCTTCATACTAGTTATAAAGCATTGTTTATGTGACTCGTTTGGACTGAGTAGAGGTTAGTGTAAGAAGCTATGACATGGGCTTAACGGCCAATTTTCTTAAGAGGGAGCTATTAGTATACATTCTTTCAGAGAGATATAAATGACAGGGTACACCCTCAAGCACACTCCAATGCTAGCCAAATTTTTGTCTCTGAAGGAAGAAATCCAGGACAAACATAACATCCTGAGTGATCTCACTGCAGGTTGCTGGAGAAGGGCCTTGAAAAGGCTCTTCAAAGTGGCTCTAATGACATTTCCGCAAGGGTTCCTCTATGCATTTCTGCCAGATGGGAGGTTCAACAGTGGCTCCTCTCCAGACTGTGCCTGGTCATGCTTCCTCTGAGGGCTGTATAGTTTAGGTTTGTTGGTTAATTAACAAGCATTTAATAAACACCTACTGTGTGTGGAGCACTCTCCATGCAATTTTGTTCTGTACCTACACAAAACCAACTCATAAACAGGAAGCACAATTCTCCCCGCTTTTGCTTCTGCTACTATTCTTAGTGTCAGGTTTTCTGATAATGATAATAATGTGAGCCATACACCTTTATATTTTAATATTTTGCAATTATTTAATCTCATATTGAGCTTAAAGTATATAGTTAAAGCTTCAAGTATACAGTATAATAGTTTTCAACACTATCATTATCACATGATTCTGTTTTCTGCAGCTGTTAATTATACTTGAAGACTTGGTGATTGACTTATTTCTGGACATGCATTTCTCAGAATATCATTTCCAAGAGCATTTCTTCTTTACAGATTTTGAGAAAAGGAGATTAATGATTGATACAGTCAAATCAATTTATATAAAATACTATCCACTAGTTTCTTCCTCATAAACTACACAATTTGAAGATAAAATTTTTAAGTTTTGCATTGTGAAGAAAAGGTAAATTAAATATTTTCTATAATTAGGCAACTCTGTCAAATACAATCAGATATAGTCCACAGGAATTATAACAGAATTTATTTAATTAATAGGAAATCAAAGGTGACAATTTAAATTTTAATTGTTTTCATTTTTGAAAGCATAGAAAATTACATGGCTATTTCATTTTGTATTATAGGTATGTTTATAAATCAAACCTCTTTTTCTTTCTAATGGGTATTACTTTACATCCCTTAAAACTAGCATTCTACAAAATAGTGACATTGGCCATAATATAATAAAGCTAGTGTTATACCTGAGCGTATAGTATCTGGCTGAGGATTTTTGTGTTTGGAACATCTTGGAACATGACCAGCACCTCTGTATAAGTATTAGGTTAAATGGTCTGGGTTTAGCAGCTTGTGCCTGTGATCAATCCCCACCTTTGGAAGCCTGAGACAAGAGAATTGCTACAAGTTCAAGACCAGTATGCACTACTTAATGAGATCACATCTCAAAAATACAAAATCAAAGAACAAAAGCCTTAGACATAATGAGCTAAAGTTGGCACATTGCCCACCTTCCTGATGTTAGGTAAATCCCTGGTCAGATTATATTGATCAGATCATTTTAGTGGATTGCAGGTAGAGCTGGACTATCTTTGAGTTATTCTTTCTAAAATTACAGCTCTAGTGTCAAATCCTGGCAACACACTGTACCAGTCAATTTCTTGTAGGCAAACTCAACTTGCGAGTAATTCATGACACTGTTCATTCCTTGTACCACCATGATACTTTGTGTGAAATACTCTACTTTAAAAGTCTAAAAGGAGAAGTCATTCCAATGGAAGGGTATCTTTTTTTCTTTTTACCTGTTTGTGTGTTTGTAAAGGGGTCAGAAAAAAATGACTATAGGATTTAGTAAAATAAGCAGGAAGGAAGGATTTTGCCAAGTGAAGATAGCGGAGTTCCTGAATGGTTGATGTGTGATTGCTGGTAGAAAAATCTGATTTAACACCTGAATATAAATGGTTCCCTATGATGCTATTCGATCTGCTGTTTCTAATATTTATAATTTTTCACCTCTTATCTTAGAATAGTTGCAGACATTAAAATTTTGCAGTAATAGACAGAGGTTGGATATTTATTGTGTAGCTTTCACTATTGAAATACTTTCATAACTATGTAAATCAAGAGATCGATACAGTATTATTATCTAATCTACATTACGTTATTAGAATTTTTCAAATCTTTCCAATTGTATCCTTTTTCTGATCCAGGATCAGACCTGATTTCAGATCTCACATTGCCTTTGGTAGTCAGCTGTTTGAATTACAGTATAGGGTTGCTTTTTAGGTTTGGTTCATGTTGCATGACTGTGACACATGTGAGCAATGCATCTATCTATCTGTCCACCATCTGGCTGTTGCTAAGGCTTGTCTTCAACAAATGAATTCAAGTTGTCTTCCTTTCTTATCCTCTAAATTCTGGGATTACAGAAATGTGTTACCATGTCCAACATATTAAGGTTGTAGCATGATCCTGATTTTTAATCTTTGTGTCTTTCCAGCTTGTATAAGACAGGGTCTCTTCTTTTCTTCTTCTTCTCCTTCTCCTTCTCCTTCTCCTTCTCCTTCTCCT